AATAGTAGGTGACATTTTCTTTAACAGCTATATTGAGTCATTGCCTGCATAAATGCATTTTTTTATTTTATAGATGAATATAGAGTGTCGGTGTGGATATTCTCTTTTCTAAAACGTACAATCGCACACCCATACAGAAACAGCAAAGTAGACCATCTGTCTATCATGTTTATTTCTAAATTTTTAAGAACGACACGAAAAGCTACAGTATGTGTTCTCACTGATGATTGATGGTGTTAAGCAGTGACAAATAAATATCATATTGTTTTAGTGTAACGAACATTCACTACTTTATATGTTAATATTGAGCGACTTATCATTAGTTAACAAGTAATTTTTCAAACGTCAAGCTGATTTTAGATGTTTTTTTGGACGTATATAATTACTTTCTGCACTGCTGACTGATCGAATGATTGAAGAGATACAACGTTGTAGTTGACAATGTACTGTAATTATGAAGAACAGCAACAGGTATTCATGAATTATCTATTGATTTGTCATTCCTTAATGAACATCTTAATGTAGACGTGATGAGATCAACCAATTGTAGTTGACCGAAAAATTCGATAGCAGGTACGAACGAAACTGAATAAAGTTATTTCTAACAATTCTTCCATCGGATAGCATTGGGACAATAGTAAGCGCAAGTGAGTAACAGATTGGCAGTTAATCTATATCATAAACAAGAAAATATTGTACAAAATGCTGAAAAATATCAACGAATAAGTGAAACATGGGTAGGAGAAAAGAATATAAAAAAAACACCTATTAAAAACTTATTTCAAATAATGAGAATACTTTTCCTTAATATTTCTAGAAAAATTATTTGAAATACATAGAGAACAGACCTTTCAATAGGCTAGACTAAATCTAGCTCTGATCCGATTTTGCAATTGCCATTCATATGCTAAGAGTCTCGGCTCATGGATTAAATCTTGAATATAAAACACAAAATTCCGCAGAGTTGTGTCTTATTATCACTGTAAAAGCTTTTTTCTTTGAAAAATCTCATTTAGTCCTTTCGTTGGTTCAAACTTTCTACAATGAAGTACGAGTAAGTACACAGAACAGAACTAATAAGAACGTCAAATCAGAGTAATAGTAATTTCCGCAAAATTGTCGACACAAGATTGACAACGTCAATTGGTTTAAGTATGTCACTAACTGACGTAGGCCATTAGTATTTTGTTAGTCTTGAGTTGATAGGTAGATGCTTTGTCGACAAATACTGAACACTAACTAAATTGTCTATTTACGTTAGAGCAATTTCCTTTTATTCAACAACAGGACGTTGTCTCATTCTCATCTTTAAAGAAATATCTATGAGAAAAATTTTTAACTACGTAGATTATCGGCCATTGAGCATCCATGAATTGAGCTGATTGTCTTAGATCAATCCCATCCATTGAGAGCTCTGTTGCAAAAAAAAATACGTTGTATATTCGTGTACAAATTAATTCTTTTTCAGTGATTTCAAATGAATTTATAGCATTAGTTTATGATTATTTCACAGCTTTATATATAAACGATGATTAAAATTCGATTTTTTCATTGTTTCAAGCAGGTTCCACGAAAGTAGTTCGCGTAAAGGATAAATTATTATCTTATGAAACATATTCTTACGAGAAAAATCCTTCAACTAATAAATCACTTTTAATTCGATACTATGCGAATTACGTAGACCGAAATGGACTATGAATTCATCAGAAAAACTAATTTTCGAATTCCGACTTGAAACTTTGCATAGAAGCAAGCCTTAACAAGAGTCGTTTATTGTGAAAGTTACAGATCTTTTGACTTCCGTCTATCCTAAAATAAGAATAGCAGATCTGTCAGTTTATAAAAGAGATGTGAAAGACACAGTATTACCATAGATGTAAGTTTCAAGTCGAAATTTGCAAATCATCTTTTCTGGTATTCTTGAGGTGGACCATGGCATTCATTTAAAAAACTACAGTATCTCTGTAGCAATAAGCTAAGGGCCTGAACTCTTTTTTTTTGGAGTATTCATAGCTCATTTGAGTCTATGTAGTGCACATAGTCTAGACTCGAAAGCGATCTATCAATTGAAAAACTTCTATCGTCGGACATGTCTCTTACAACTATAGACTCTTTTGATGTGTATTGATCACAAAGATTTGATTTATGAACGAATACAATATTCCTTTTTATCTTTTGAAGATAAATTATCTTTAGATTACAATTGACTATAATCATCAATTGAGTTTCAATATCATCAATAAAAGAACTGGAACTATCTCAAAACCAAAAAAATGTATTGGTTACGAAAAGTGTGAACTAGTGATGGTCGTAAATATAATCGAACACCTGATAACATATACATTTATGAGTATTCACTTTTCTTTTTTTTTTATAACTTCACTTCAACTAGGCCATGGCATTTAAAGATTTCTTGACATAATATAAATTTACTTCTTTTTTTTTGATTTTTCTCTCTGAAAATTTCATTTTATATTAACATTTCCATATACCATTTGATAAACATAGAAAAAAAAAGAAAAATTACACATGCAACTTCATCTGTTTAAAGAGAGAAAGAATAGAATCAACAACAGATATAGAAAAAAAAAAGAAAATGCGACGACATAGATTATTATTAGAACAAAAAACATCTTTGAATTTTTTTTTTCTGTACTTTGACTGATTTAAGGATATACATTGACTGATTTTTATTTTTTATTTTTTTTTCTCGTTTCAATTCGTTTTACATGCAATTCATACAATTTGATTGATTCGATTGTCTATTGCCTTGTGATAGACCAGGAGATATTCCAGATGTACCTTCAATTGAATTTACTGGAGTCTTTTTAAGTATTAGTCTTGCCATTTCGAAAAAAGCTTTTTCAACATTAACATTATTTTTTGCTGATGTTTCAAGAAATGGTATTGAATGTTCGCGTGCTAATGCTTCACCACGTCCTCGTGTAATACAACGTTTATCGTCCATGTCACATTTATTACCAATAATCATTTTAACAACATCATCAGATGCATGATCATCAATATTACGTAGCCATTTATTTATATTTTCAAATGATCTTGCTTGTGTCACATCATAAACAAGCATTATTCCAGTTGCTCCCCGATAATAAGATGCTAAAATAATAATAATAATATATTTAAAAAAAAATGAATGAATCTTACTAGTTATTGTATGAAATCGTTCTTGACCGGCAGTATCCCTAAGTAATAGAAATTGAAAATATATATATAATTATATCTTGATGTTCTAATAGCTTTTTTTTTTTTTGCTCTTTGCAATACTCATGGGAATTGTATGTAGTGATCTCAATCCTAATCTATTACAACTTTAGGATATAACTGTTCGAATAATTAGAGATTCTTCTATGATAAAATCTAACGACAAACTTGATTATATAATGAATAGTTTTAATAACACGCAATATTAATCATTCATTTTGAAAGCAGGTAAAGATGATTATCTCTACATGTACGTGTAGACATTGTTTCCCAGAGGCAAATATATAAAATTAGAAGACAGTATTATCTATGATTTTGATTCATATTTATCATCATCTTCATCAATTTTATTCTTTCTATATATTTCTTACCATATCTGTAATTTTATTTTTCGTCCATCAAGTTCGATTGTCTTTATTTTAAAATCAATACCAATCGTAGAGATAAATGAAGCATTAAATGCATCATCAGAAAATCGAAATAAAATACAAGTCTTTAAAAAAAAATAAAACAATCAATTATTTATATTCTTCTTTTTCTTATATATAATTACTTACTTTACCCACACCACTATCGCCAATTAATAATAATTTAAATAGAAGATCATAATTCTTTTTGGCCATTCTCGGGCCAATGTTCTACAAATATAAATCAATTATATTTTAGTCTATTCAAATGATAATAATCAGTTAAGATGATCTTTATTTAGATCTACATATATATATCAGAAAAATATAAAAATATCATTATATTCTTAATATTATTTATACATTAATCAACAAAACGAATGAAAACTACCTTCTGACTAATGTCGACAATCGATGAAGTATCGCGTTTAAGCGATTGATGTCGACGAGATGAAGATGATGTACGTTCATGTAACCAATATTGTGCAAATTCACTCGTTCGTTTCAATGAAAAACATCGACGATGATGATAATGATGATGACCAGACATATGAGATGTACGACAGCTGACAACACTCGTTTAGTCTCTACGACAACTGACTAAGTACTATTGCTGACATTCATCAGGTGTCGAAGGAGAAATGAGAGAAAGAAAAGGAAATCAAATATTACTCTTAACCTCTATGGCAGCGACAGCGATAGAACAAAAATGATCGGCATTTTTTCTCTCTCTCTCTCTCTCTCGTGCCTCCCTTTTATTTCATTTGTATGTGTGCATCTATCCATGTTCATCTATTAGAAACCACAAAAAAAAAGAACGATAGAAAAGAGGGAGGCGGAATGACAACTATCGTATATGTATTCATTCCATGCTTCAAGGCAATCTAACAAATGTCTCCTTAGATATAATATTTAATCAATGACCAACATCTCACATTACGCGCTCATTCCATTTACTATTAAAAGAAAAGAGAAAGACAACAATGGATGTTATTTTTTTTTTTTTTTTTTGTTTTAATCTATTCTTTGTTTGTGTATAGGTGGAATTCACACAAAAATAAAATAATATAAGGAAAAGATTCAATCAAACTACGAGAGAAAACAAACAGATAATAGTATATGTGTAACTTGGATAGGATATTCAAATATGGTTTGTTTCTTGTTTTCACTATAGTATCCGCCTATATACTGCTAGAAGAAAAAGAAAATTATAAAAGAAGAAGAAGAAAAAAAAAACAGGATTGATTTAAGCAAAATGTCAAAATGAAAAAGAGAACATCAACAAGAAAAAAATGATGATGATGATGGTGAAAATTGATGCTAGTGTAATTCTTTTTCATTCTTCTTAGGATCTGTCAGATCTTTTTGTTTTTATAATTCGAGAAAGATTGAACGTGAATCCTCGATATATTGTTTGATTTTTCGAAGAAATAGAACGGCATCACGACCGTCCAATATACGATGATCATATGTAAGTGCAACATACATCATTGGACGAATTTCAATCTGACAATAAAGGAAATAAAAATCAAGGACAAATCAAAACAAAAACAAAAAAATCATACCTTGCCACCAACAACTACCGGTCGATCAAATACTCCATGCATACCAAGAATAGCAGATTGTGGTGGATTTATAATTGGTGTACCAAATAATGAACCAAATACTCCTCCATTGCTAATTGTAAATGTACCACCATCCATATCTTCAATAGCAAGTGAACCTTTCTTCGCCTATGAAGAAAAGAAAAAAAAACCAAATACATAGATATATATATATCGATGTATGACAAAAGTTTTCTATGTAACTTTATATACGACTATGATAAAATGTTGATGTTCTATTCGAATCACATAAGGATCAAATCTTTATAGCTAATTTAGAAATTTTAATAGACTATTAACATTGAATATGGATGATTTCCCATAAGGAAAAATCGGAAAAATTTATTTTGTGATTGACAACTAAGGTCATGTTTAATCAAATCAATGTTACATAAAATGACACTGTAAAAACAAAATGAAAACATTCATCATCTATGAGATCAGTAGTGATTTATTCTTAATTCATCTTCAGTTACAGAGTCAAGTTCTCAGTGTTTTAGGCTACGTCTAAATTGCGAACAAAAATTAAGCCAATTAAGAAAAAAGTGTTCGCAATTTGGAACACAGAAAATAACGTTGATCTTATTTTTATTGCGTTTCCAAATTGCGAAC